TTTTTTTTTTTTTTTTTTTGCTCTTGGGATCATTCTAAAATACATTAACTGATTAGCTACCGGGATTGAGAAACCGGCTTAGGCCGACTTAAACAAGTCAAGTTGACAGCGATACTAACGTTGGCGCTACCAGCCCCTCGTGGCCGTAACAAACGCCCCGCCCCCCCTCCCCCCCCACCCCCCTGCTCCCAGTTAAAATGTATTACTTTAAAAAAAAAAAAAAATTCTTAATCAGAATATCTATCGGTATGCTGGAAATGAATAGAATACAATTTAACTTAAAACACACATTTTCATTTATTTGGATCAACGGCAGAGTCGAATCTAATCCTATGACGAACTCCATGATGAATGCGAGTGGATTGGTTGACTTGTTTTGAACAGAGTGTTTTTTTGTTTTGTTTTTTTTCCCTTTTGTTTTGGTAAATGATTGTTGGATACAGTAAATAAGACAAAATACCTTGTCTCTTGGCAGTGTCGTCTTAAGGCATGAGGACACTAGGCACTGGCCCTGGGCCCCCAATGCTCTTAAGACGGCCCTGTCTCATGGTTGTATTCTTTGTTCCTTTAGTACTCAAACAAAAATATTTTTTCTTTGCAGTACACGAAATTCTTCATCACTTTTACACATCTTTTTAATATTTGCACATTTAAGCAGGTATTATATGGTTTTATTTATTTATTTTTTAAATGGATGTTTAAAGAAACATTTTCAATGATAAAAACCTTACTATAATATACAAATGTAGTGGTACAAGAATGGAAATCCTGCACAAAAACCAATTGAAAAAAAAAATGGAACTCATCTCACTTAGTGACACTTTTAGTATTGTTTTAACCATGACATCATTGGATATACTTGAAAATGATTCAATTCAGTTGTTTTTTTTGTTTGTTTTTTTTTTTGGGGGGGGGGGGGTTTTTTTTTTTTTGGGGGGGGGGGGGGGGGGAACTCACATTTTTTTCTTCACTGGATGGTCCATTATCCAAGTCAAAACACGCTGAAAGTCTTTCTATTTTCTTGCGTAGGTATGCGTTTAGTATCGTTTTGATCTTCTGCAACATGCAAAGATTAAGGAAACGACTTCTTCAGAGAAAAGCAACAGCGGCAAGTGTTATAGAATAATCCCCTATATAGAAATAGATCTTAACGAAAATGTGCAACCAGTTGTAGTAAAAAAGAAAAAGGAACAACAGAATATTATAGGATTTAGTTGTTATGATGACCTACCCCCACCCAAAACACACACACCTTCTAATAATCTAATTTTCAAAAAAATAAACTGAAAATATACATTGGGGCAAAATATTGTAATATAACACAAACATCGTGTAGGACTACCTGTTCCCAATCAAAGCTTGCACCGGTCAGATTTCTGGAACAAATTGAACATTCTGTGGTTAAGTTAATTTTTAAAATGATTTTAATTCTATTTACTGTTAGAAATTGTTAAAAAATAATTTCATAAAACGTAAATATGTAAAAAATAAGTATGGCTTCTATGTGTTCTACGGTTTCTATGTGTTTTTTTTTTTTACTGAAATTAATAATACAAATATGAATAAGAAAAGATACGATATAAAAAATAATTTCATAAAACGTAAATATGTAAAAAATAAGTATGGCTTCTATGTGTTCTACGGTTTCTATGTGTTTTTTTTTTTTTACTGAAATTAATAATACAAATATGAATAAGAAAAGATACGATAAGATACTTTTATTGATCCTAATAAATGGAAACTTTTTTTTTGAACTTCAAAATCCTAGTTTGAGCTTTGGGTTGCTCAGGCAAGTTAGTAGTCTATAGCAAGACTTTCGTCGACTAAATGTGCGGTAATAACTGTTGGCTTCTTGGGTGGGGGGTTGTAATTTTGAACAGAGTATTGGATTTTCGTTTGAACGGAGCTCTCATTCCCACTAGATCGGTTACGTCTCCTTACGGACGATTAGTCTTTCGAGTGTGTGTTTTGATCTTGCCACTTGTTTACAAGATGACCTATCTCTTATTTTCATATAAGAATCAATGTTTTAATATTTATGAGCACCATTGAGCACACTATTTTTAACACTTACTGGTCAAGCAGAAGACACGCTCCTTGTTTATTGCCGACCTCGAATGTGTTTGGGCCAAGACTGTTTTGAAATGGCGTTACCTGAGAGCAAAGAGAATCCCATCAGAATAAAATTAACTACGCAACATAAGTTATAAGTCAATTTTAAATTCTGGACAAGAGCATATATTTATGTATGTATATAATATTAAAAATTACAGGAAAAACAACACACACACACAACCTCTAAAAATCCGATTTTTTGAAACATATTTTGATCTAATGAAATTTAGTTGGTTTTTTTTTTTTAATTTCTTTTTATCCAACAATGTTTATAGGCCAATTTATTTAAATATTTACTAAAGTGACTCCACTGACCTAGTGGACGCCTCATCTCAATGTTAATTATAATTTATTTTCAGGAGTGGTTTGCATTCGCCTCAGCGGTCCCGTTTTGTTGAGCTCTTACAGACTTTACAATATAAGATTATCACGGGAAAAAAACAACAACAACCCCCCCCAACCAAATACAAAAATGCATCAACATACCTTCAAATCTAAGACAACCTCATCAACATACCTTCAAACCTTCGATGCCCAATGACTTCCAAACACTGTACGTATCTGTAGATTTATTTTCAGTGCAGACCAGTATCAGGTCATTAAACTATAATAAAGGAATCGTTAAAACGTACCGACAATTATAAGCATCTGTTCTGGTGTGATGTATATTTGCTTATAACTAAGTAGATCAGGACCAATTAAAGGTACCAAAAAATCATTTTATAGTGAAGGCAACAATTTTGGATTCTATCCACATTTTCAATGCTCTACGCCTACAAATATGTTCAAGGTCTTACCAGAAACAGATGCCTCGGGTGTTTTTCTCCCTTTTTGGTGGAAATTTCAGTAACAGGTCCGTGTGCTAAGAGGTGACGGGTTGGTGTGATAAAGTCCTGAGGGACCCCTCTCAATTTTTGGTAAATCTCAAGCTTTTTTTTAAAGACCTCCTATGTATAGAGTTAACAGAATGAAAACTAGCAGCCACATGGGAATATTGTTAAACGTATATGTCTTTTAACTTTAAATTTATTGTAGTTTGCTACAATGGAATTTATAACAACATAATAAGCTGTAAAATACAAATTTCAAACTAGTTTCACATACAAGTTTTTTCAAAGCTTCATTGGAATGGAGAGCTGCTTTGGAAACAAGAACTAGGGCTTCTGAAATGAATTCAGTTATTTATAAATTAAAAAAATAATTGAAGCTATATACAAGGAGGCTTGCAATAAAACACAGAAAATGAAACATTCGCGTTAAATCAATAAGACAAGCAAAATTAGATTTATTCTGGCTTTCTTAAAACTTTAACTGCCATAGAAGCACTGAGAAAAAAGTTTCACAGACTCCTGGGTCGACTTATAAATTACTGCTCTCGCCGTGAACATCATCCTCAGAGCAACAAACTACTGAACCGAGGTCATCAATTTGTCGACATATTAAAGCAACACCATTTAAAAAAAAAAAAAAGTAAAGATAGGGTACAAATGTTGAATAACGACACAAACATACCTTGAGAGTCGTGGAGGTCAGGCGAGTCTTCTGACAGCACGCGCACGTATTCTGTAATAGTAAACAAACAAGTTGATGTCAAATGCAAATGGACAAACAGCAACAGCTGATAAGGCTCGGAGCGAAGCAGTCGAAATGATTGGCCTACGACTGTGAGAATTCCATTTAAAAAAATAAATAAAAAATACGGCCTTTTTTTTTTTTTTTCATTCCCGATTACTTGGCAAGTGAAAATTGCAACCCATTAAAGTTCTTCAAACGTATAGACAACAAACTGTATTACCAGTGGCGGTTTTTGTTATAGGCGACACTTGTGGCTGATGAGAGCGGTATTTTTTTTTAATAAGGGTGGCGAATTCCAGCGAAATTTAAAAAAAAAACAAAAAACAATTATTGATAGATCCACGAAGGAGAGACAGTTCGACGGAGAAATTTCAGATTATTCTTTACCAGAAAATAATTTTAGTTTAGTTTTGTTTTTATTTTATAGCAGATTTTGGATACCGCCAAACATACAACTAATTATAGTTTTGTTTTCTTGTTTGTTTACAATTATCCTCTAACAATGACTTATTTTGATTTTTGTATAGCATTCTTTTTTTTTTTAAAAGAACATTTTAATTTTCAAAATTAGTTTTCCAGAAAATCATAGACCTTAAATTGGCCTTAGCATCTGAAAATGACGTTTTGACTACACTGGCGATGGAAAGAGGATTACACTGTGGGACGGCGTATGGTTGAGGCAGAGGGGGGCATTTGCGCACCCCCCTCCCCTTTCTGAATTTGCAGGTTTTAGTTAAATAGCTATGCACAGTGGCGCCTCCAGTAATAAACAACTTAACAAATCAACCAAGTTTTGGTATTGCCCCTTCCCTGAAAAACCCCGTAAGGACGCCCCTGCCAGCACTCTCAATAAGAAAATGCGTTTGCCGAGAGAAGTGTTTCGAAGCCAAACTCATACAAATTTATCTTCATTCTACCATGTCTCAAAATGGTTGTGGTTGGGTTTTTCTATGATATCCAAAGAAAGAACGATTGCAGAAGAGCTGGCTACGGCCGAAATAATTCAGGATTTCACTAATGCAAAGCAAGAACAGCTCAATTTTCTGATAATAAAATGTTAATTAAGAGATAAGCTTAACAACTGAATAACTTTGCCTTCCCAGGAAATTTTCTTTCGGTAACCTACTTTTAAAAAAAAAAAAAAAGTAATCTAATGACGCCAGATAATCATGTTTGTCTTCAAATCAACTATGAAATATTAAAACTCCTGAAGCTGAAAACAAATTTGCCGATTTAGGAATTTAAATGTTTAAGCAAAGTTATCCAACTAAAAAGTTCCAACAAATCGGCCTGTTCATGACATATTTTTTTTTCATTTAGATAAATCAACTCAAACGTTTTGAAAGCTGAAAACTCGTAGAATTTAATGAGTGATTAACATTTAGGGTAAAAGGGCGGTATATTTTTTGGGGTCTTGCCTACAGCACAAACATTCTAAGGACGGCACGGTTTTGTTGTGCGTATGTGTTTGTGTGTGTGTGTGTGTGTGTGCTCTTTTTTTTTCTATTTAAAGTTTAAAAAAATAACCCGTCGGAAATGATCACTGTTCGGCCGTTTACCAGGAATTGTGGGATTAAGTAATGACCTACAAAGGCAACAAAACGTTTAAGCAACCCAGTTTTTAAAAAAAAATAAAAAAATATGCCGTCATTTGTTATGATACGTTAATAATATGGCTATAATAACATGGGATAACCCCATTGCTGTAACACCTTCAGTTTCGTTTAATGATATATAATTCACCATTGCGACATCTTACCTTTCAGCAACAGTTCATACCGCACGAGCCTTTGAACGGGTTCAATCAACAGGTTTTGGAATGGCAGGCGCTCACACTCTGGGAGTTGCTGAAAGGAATTATTCAAACCAGGATGTGGTTGCAGCCAGAATGACAGAACATGAAGATAGAACGATTGTTTCGGGTGAATGCCTTACCCCACAAACTTAACACAAACAAAGAAGGTGGGGGAAAAAATGAAAGACATAATCTCACATGATAAATAATAATAATTTGACAGGAAGTTATTAATTTGTAGACATTATACGAAAATGCTTCTATGACAACACAGGAAGTGCATGTTTAATTCATACACAGTCTAAAAACTTTGGTGGCGAGGTTAGCGGGAGTTGATAAACAAAGATAATTGATGTAGGCGAATTATTTTACTACTTCATTCAAGACACTCTGCATTACAATGTTGAAATATATTGTATCATAGAGGGAAAAATGAACTCATTACACTAACATGAGGGTTGAATAACATTGGTTGACAGACACATATGTGTTTATTGCGCCCTCAGGCCTTCCAAACCTCAGTTCCTGATACCCTCGCCGAGCAGCCCTTGCAACCAGTGAAATATCATCTTCAATACCAGGCACGGAGACATTGCGAATCCCTCTAGATACATAGGAGCCAGTGTGATCAATACCTAGACCGTGGACCCTTATTACATAGGAGAGAATGATTTTCTGCTGCCAACATCATTGAACCACATTTACTCGAGTTAACTTTTGTACAGCTAGTCTACACTGCTTTGCCTCTCGGTGCAGTTGTATCCTTTATGTCGTTAAATATTCGATTATCATCATGAAGCTGGCCAGATAGTCCAGTTGGTAATGCGTTGATTGGGAAACTAAGGGACGTATATAATTTCCCATGAGAAGTGCCTTAGAAGTGTTGAGATTATTCAAGAGCGAATTTGTTTAAAATGTTTTTTGTATATGCATGTGTGGGTAGGTTGAGGTATAGGACGATGCACATAACTTAATTTTCATGCAGCAAATTTTCATTTTTTATCAATTTTATAGTCTAATAAATTGTTAGCCAAAAGATTTTTACAAATTGAAATTTATTAAGGGCATTCTGTTCCATTTAAATCACACGGTGCTAAATTAGCATGATGTATGAGTTATGAGATTGGTGTATGAGTTATGAGATATATGTATGAGGTTTGAGATTATTAATGAGTCATGAGATATATATATGAGTTAGGAGATTGGTGTATGAGTTACGAGATATATGTATGAGTTATGAGAAATATTCATGAGTTATGAGATATATGTATGAGTTATGATATACATGAATGAGTTATGAGATATATGAGTTATGAGATATATGTACCTCAAGTCTATGTACAATCTCACTGAATCTTGACGATTTTCTCCTCCATACCTCAATGTTTTTCACGGCTGTCCTAAAGTTGTGTACGAACTCGCCATAGATCTTCAGAAAAGGGGCATTCTTCTTCATGATATCTCCAACTCTCTGATCAGAACTCCTGGAACCATTGCATCGAGGAGTGGTTATAAAATGTATGCATTCATATTGACCCAATTAAATTTTAAAAAAATCGTTTGAATAGCAGATTGGCCCTCAGCCTCAGCACAACTATGGGCGTCTTAAGTTTCAAATAGTTCACCTACCAATAGGCGTCTTAGGTCTCCAATAGTTCAACAACCAATAGGCGTCTTAGGTCTCAAATAGTTCACCTACCAGTATGCATCTTAAGTCTCCAATAGTTTACCTACCAATAGGCGTCTTAAGTCTCCAATAGATCACCTACCAATAGACGTTTTAAATCTCCAATAGATCACCTACCAATAGGCGTCTTGTGTTTCAAATTGTTCACCTACCAATAGGCGTCTTAAGTCTCCAATAGATCACCTACCAATGGGTGATGCGTTCCTCCAACTGGGGTAAGATGAAATCCTTGTGAAACAAGTAAATACTCTTGATGTTTGAGAAGATGAGAGGCAGTGCGTTGTCTGGTAGAAAAGGTGAGAACTTGTTCTCCTTCTCAAGCTCAACGTAAAAAATCTGTAATGAGTCAATTGGACATTATTTACTTCGATTACGCCAAGTAATTAGACTTCATTATGGAACTTATTTAGACCCATTCTCATGCAAGCAAGTTGTCGCAAAAAAAACAAAAACGTAAATTTTATACATCCTGGTGAGTTAATACATAATATATTTAATTACTTGAATAGGGCGAAGTTTTGAAGATAGACTTTCATCTTTGCATCTACTTACATCTCTACAGCTACTTACATCTCTACAGCTACTTACATCTCTACAACTACGTACACCTCTGCAAACTACTTACATCTCTGCAGCTACTTACATCTCTACAGCTACTTACATCTCTACAGCTACTTACATCTCTACAACTACGTACACCTCTGCAAACTACTTTCATCTCTGCAGCTACTTACATCTCTACAGCTCTTTACATCAAACTAACTACTTACATCTCTACAGCTACTTACATCTCTACAGCTATTTACATCTCTACAACTACGTACACCTCTGCAACTACTTACATCTCTGCAGCTACTTACATCTCTACAGCTACTTACATCTCTGCAGCTATTTATACACTCTAACTACTTGCATCTCTACAACTACTTACATCTCTACAGCTACTTACATCTCTGCAGCTATTTATACACTCTAACTACTTGCATCTCTACAACTACTTACATCTTTGCAGCTACTTACATCTCTGCAGCTTCTTACATCTCTGCAGCTACTTACATCTCTGCAGCTACTTACATCTCTGCAGCTACTTACATCTCTGCAACTACGTACACCTCTGCAAATACTACATCTCTGCAGCTACTTACATCTCTGCAGCTACTTACATCTCTGCAGCTACTTACATCTCTACAACTACGTACACCTCTGCAACTACTTACATCTCTGCAGCTACTTTCATCTCTGCATCTACTTACATCTCTACAGCTACTTACATCTCTACAACTACTTACATCTCTGCAGCTACTTACATCTCTGCAGCTACTTACATCTCTGCAGCTACTTACATCTCTGCAGCTACTTACATCTCTGCAGCTACTTACATCTCTGCAACTACGTACACCTCTGCAAATACTACATCTCTGCAGCTACTTACATTTCTATAGCTACTTACATCTCTGCAGCTACTTACATCTCTGCATCTTCTTACATCTCTGCAGCTAATTACATCTCTGCATCTTCTTACATCTCTGCAGCTAATTACATCTCTGCAGTTGCTTACATCTCTACAGCTACTTACATCTCTACAACAACTTACATCTCTGCAGCTACTTACATTGTACAAGATGTGGAGCCTCGCAACATAATCCCGCTCTGTTGTCATCAATTCCGTGGCTATGAGGTAATTTAATTCAGCCCCTTTCTTCTCCACTATGTGCCAGTCTTCCAGCTGTTAACGAATAATAAATAACATCTTATTTTGTCGCGATTCGACAAGATTTGAAAATATGTACTGTAATTTATCATTTATAAAATATTATAAAGGCTTTAAAAAATTAACTTTAAAAAATCGACTCTTGACGGCCAAGATAGATACATTTAAAAAATCCTTTAAAAAAACAACAATTGTGAGAATACCATATCTGTCCACCACACTGGAACTCCTTGCTTAACAGACTTTAAAAAAAAAAAAAAAACTTGCAAAATAATTGAAAAATCCTAAAGGGGGGGGGGGAATTCCTTTTGATTGGTTCGATCGATGGTCTCATTTGCTTGATGAAACTTAGACCTGGGGTCAAACAATCAAATCAAACAAATATGTTTAGCCTAACGAAAGTGTGGGAAAGCCGTGCCAACAAGGAGCCGTGCCAACGAGGAGCCGTGCTGCCTTGGCGTGTTCGTGAGACTGTCAGTGAGAGTATGAGTTGGGTTGCCAACTAGAGTCGCCAAAGTCAATCCTTAATCCGAAAGTCAAATTTGACGGGAACTTATTTAAACAAGATTGGTAGGCAATAACTTCATTTTGTTAGCATTATGATATCCACAAAAATATACATCTTCGAGAAGACGCCACATCCGGCATTGCTCTTAAAATAACTTCATTTTTTCCCCAGCTTTTGAGTCATCCCCCGTCCGGCCATATAAGAACTTACGTTCATGTTAGCAGGTTCATCACCGGTTCCATCTACTTTGTAGGGAAATTCCTCTCGATAAAAATCTTCCACGTCACTCCAACTGTCCGAAACATCCGATAGCGTCCAGCTGGAGCCAGAGTCCGCCTGTCCGAGCCGCGTGCCCTGGTGGATGTCTTGCAGGACTGTCAGCTTGTACTGCTGCTCGGCGTCGGTGGGCGCGTCTTTCCCATCGAGCTGGGATGAGGATGAGGAGCAGTAGCTGTCCGTCTCGTAGGAGCAGTGGCTGTCCGTCTCGTAGGAGCAGTGGCTTTCCGTCCCGTAGGAGCAGTAGCTGTCCGTCTCGTAGGAGCAGTGGCTTTCCGTCCCGTAGGAGCAGTAGCTGTCCGTCTCGTAGGAGCAGTGGCTGTCCGTCCCGTAGGAGCCGTGTCTTCTCTTGGAGTCACGGAAACGACCAGGGTTTGGCCTTAAAGAGACTTCCTTGTCATCGCCATGTTCACAATTTGAATTTTGATGAATTGTTTTTGGTGCTAAATGAGCTGGAAAAAACATAAATCGCATTATTATTAACAATAAAAAAAAAGAAAGAAAACAAAAAGAAATTACTCGTGGACTCTCGATAAAAGCAAAAACACATCAAATGAGCTCTTGAGATTGTTGTACGCTAAGTTACGAGACTATTCAAATTGTTTGTTTTTTTAAATTCGACACTACACGATAAAGCTCTCACGGCTGGTCTGTCGTCAAGTTACACCCTTAAAAATTTGCAATGCTTTTACATTACCGAAAACAGAATGTATCCTACTACTAATTATAATAATATAAATAAATAAACTCCTATAAATTGTACATAAACTCTAGTCATTTCAAAAATATTTAAAAAAAAAAAAAAAACGATGGTACATGTTCAATTAATGAATTAATTACATTAGATATTTCAAAGTATTTTATATCCTTGTAGTAATTATATTTTTTGCAAATTTGATTGATGGCAGGGTTTTTTTTGTGCATATTTGATTGATGGCAGGGTGTTTTTTTTTGCATATTTGATTGATGGCAGGGTTTTTTTTGCATATTTGANCTGATATTTGAATGAATGAATACATTGGCTCGATTACAGCTGGGGGTTGCTTGAGTGGACATCTTCACCAATCAGTTACCTGTCAGGGTAAGTGACACACCAATCATAATAATATTATCCTTACGGTGTTTCGTTTGTTGGTTCGTTTGTTTGTTTTTTTTTGTTTTTTTTGTTTTTTTGTTGTTTTGTGTGTTTTTTTTTTTGTTTTTTTGTTTGTTGTTTGTTTTTTTTTTTTGCATTTTTGTTTGATGTTTGGTTTTTTTTTTTTGCATATTTGAATGAAAACACGTTTTTTCATAAGTAATAAATCAATCAAGCCATATTATAAATGTGTGTGTGTGTGCATCCACATATCTTACAATCATGGAACAGATCTTATATCCAACTATCTTACACGCACGGTATAGATCTCATATCAACGCATTCACCTGGGCTGGTCCATTTGGCCAGAAGTTTCCTACACTGTATTGGCGTAAGAACACCGATGAGGTCATCCTCCGTCACCAACTTCAAGTCCTCCTTATCCTCCACACCGAGAGTGGTCAGCTGGTCCAGTAATTTTTCCAAGCATTCATCACTAAGATATGGGAGAGCTTCTTTCACTTCAATCTTCACATGATCCATGATCTGCATAACCATACAACATAGGACTGAAAACTGTACAAAGAAAAGCGGTACCAAAACTATTGATATGAACAATATTTAATATAATTATACTATTACATTTATTAGTTTGTTAAAATACAAAATCAAATGCATAGAGAAAAAAACAAACTATATCAACATACAGCACAGGAAGAGAAAATATAATACTCTAAAGATCCAAATATTAATATACACGCACGCGAATAGTAAAATCTTGTAAGACTCCAATAAGTATATTTCATCTCGTATGTTCTGTGTCCAAGAAATCTTGCAATTATCTCATCTGCTAGGGAAAGCCGCCAGTTTAATTTATAGGGAGGGAGTTGAGACACTCCAGAACAATTTTTTTCTCTATAAATTGCATCAGAACGTAAACAACCTTATCGCAATTAAGGTAGGAATGGGTAAAAGTATATAATATATTAATATATATATATATATATATATATATATATATATATATNATATATAGAAAGAGAGAGATAGGGAGATAACGAGAGAAAGATATATATATATATATATATATATATATATAGATATATATATACACATTTATATTAATATTTATATGTATAAATTATGTTAACAAATACAAATCTTTAAGAAATATTTTTTTTCGGCCAATTAATCTATCTCTTCTGATGTAAATTTGTGATTTTAAAAAAAAATCTCTATCTCAAAATTTACCTAGATCAGGTGCTTTTCATACGCTTGATAAACCCCTATCACATTTAGTGTCTCTTGGTTTGTCTCTGCCAACCCTATCAGATTTAGTGTCTCTTGGTTGACTCTGCCAACCTTATCACAATTAGTGTCTCGTTGTTCGTCTCTGCCAACCCTATCAGATTTAGTGTCTCTTGGTCCACTCTGCCAACCTTATCACATTTTGTGTCTCTTGGTTCGTCTCTGCCAACCCTATCAGATTTAGTGTCTCTTGGTCGACTCTGCCAACCTTATCACATTTAGTGTCTCGTTGTTCGTCTCTGACAACTCTATCAGATTTAGTGTCTCTTGGTCGACTCTGCCAACCTTATCACATTTAGTGTCTCTTGGTTCGTCTCTGCCAACCCTATCAGATATAGTGTCTCTTGGTTCGTCTCTGCCAACCCTATCACAATTAGTGTCTCTTGGTTCGTCTCTGCCAACCCTATCACATTTAGTGTCTCTTGGTTCGTCTCTGCCAACCCTATCACAATTAGTGTCTCTTGGTTCGTCTCTGCCAACCCTATCAGATTTAGTGTCTCTTGGTTCGTCTCTGCCAACCCTATTACATTTAGTGTCTCTTGGTTCGTCTCTGCAAGCCCTATTACATTTAGTGTCTCTTGGTTCGTCTTTGCCAACTCTATCAGATTTAGTGTCTCTTGGTTCGTCTCTGCCAACCCTATTACATTTAGTGTCTCTTGATTCGTCTCTGCAAGCCCTATTACATTTAGTGTCTCTTGGTTCGTCTTTGCCAACCCTATCACATTTAGTGTCTCTTGGTTCGTCTCTGCCAACCCTATCACATTTAGTGTCTCTTGGCTCGTCTCTGCCAACACTATCACATTTAGTGTCTCTTGGTTCGTCTCTGCTAACCCTATCAGATTTAGTGTCTCTTGGTTCGTCTCTGCCAACCCTATCAGATTTAGTGTCTCTTGGTTCGTCTCTGCCAACTTTATCCCATTTAGTGTCTCTTGGTTCATCTCTGCCAACTCTATCACTTTTAGTGTCGCTTGGTTCGTCTCTACCAACTTTATCACATTTAGTGTCTCGTTGTTCATCTCCACAAACCCTATCACATTTAGTGTCTCTTGGTTCGTCTCTGCCAACCCTATCATATTTAGTGTCTCTTGGTTCGTCTCTGCCAACCCTATCACATTTATTGTCTCTTGGTTCGTCTCTGCCAACCCTATCACATTTAGTGTCTCTTGATTTGTCTCTGCCAACCCTATCACATTTAGTGTCTTTTGGTTCGTCTCGGCCAACCCGATCACATTAATGTCTCTTGGTTCATCTCTCTAACCCTATTGAATGACAACCGTTTCCAACCCCTCGAATGTGGTTGCGTGAGATTGTTATTTTTAAATGACCCCAAAACTCAACGTCATGAAAAGACCAGGTGTCCTCGCATATATATATATAGCTTTGATTATAGCCCCTGAAACGCCCTACTGTTTTAATACGAGTAGTGCACAATGTTCAAGGCTTGCCGCTCCGCTGGCTCTCTGTAGTAAGACGTTCATTGTGTAGCACCAATACTGCTGACTGTACCCGACATGGTGTTGTCACGTCATTTCACAACCAATAATCAAGTAGAATAATGTTGTGAAATCTATTTACGACCACATATCAAGTAGAATAATGGTGTCACGTCACTTCAGAACCCAATACCGAATGGAATAATCTTGTCACGTCATTTCACAGCCACGTATCAAGTAGAATATGTTGTTTTCACGTCATTTCACAACCACATATCAAGTAGAATATGTTGTTTTCACGTCATTTTACAACCAATAATCAAGTAGAATATGTTGTTTTCACGTCATTTCAAAACCACATATCAAGTAGAATAATGTTGTTACGTCACTTCAGTACCCAATACCAAATGAAATAATCTTGTCACGTCATTTCACAACCACATATCAAGTAGAATATGTTGTTTTCACGTCATTTCACAACCACATATGAAGTAGAATATGTTGTTTTCACGTCATTTTACAACCCCATATCAAGTAGAATATGTTGTTTTCACGTCATTTCAAAACCACATAGCAAGTAGAATAATGTTGTCACGTCACTTCAGTACCCAATACCGAAAGGAATAATATTGTCACGTCATTTCACAACCCCATATCAAGTAGAATATGTTGTTTTCACGTCATTGCACAACCACATATCAAGTAGAATAATGTTGTCACGTCACTTCAGTACCCAATACCGAATGGAATAATCTTGTCACGTCATTTCACAACCCCATATCAAGTAGAATATGTTGTTTTCACGTCATTTCACAACCACATTTCGAGTAGAATAATATCGTCACGTAGGACGATGTGGCTGTGAATAAGTTGATACAAGCAAGAAATGCCTTTAGCTGCAAAGACGCAAATAGGATCTTCATTTTGTAAGGGTCTAAAAGTGCGTCTTTAAAGATGCACGAGGTTCGACAACGTTATAGAAAACGTCTTAAAGTTTGACGGTTCACCTTAATAAGAGCCGTCACGTGTACCTTGAAACAGCTGCGGCTTCAGGGGGGACCTCTGATATGCTACTGAGAGGGCCCTTAGTTGGGATTTAAAAAAAAAAAATAATAACTTTAAATGTAATAAGGTGGGGGGCATTAAGGTGATACGTGACAGGGGTCCCTTTGAATGGGACTGGACGAGGTACAAATGGGGCTTTTTAGAATTTCTTTTATAATGGTAAAAACCTCGGCGAAATGTTTCCAAGATGAGAAAGCGCAAAGAATTTTATCGAGGGCGTAAACTTTATTAAAGCGTGTTGATAAAAATGAGACAATGAATCGATTAATACCCAGGTGTAAAAACATCACCACGGAGCTAGCGTGTGATCACGGATTTCATTGCCGCTGCAGGAGGCCCTCGGATACTTTGGGACCCGCAGAATTAAGTGCTGATGAGACAAATAACTAAAAGCAAACCAAAAAAAAAAAAAAAAGACTAGAAAAAAAAAAAAAAAAAAAAAAAAAAAAAAAAAAAAAAAAGACTAGAAAAAAAAAACGAAAGGTAAAAAAACAAATGTGTGTGTATGTGGGGGGGGGGTCTCCAAAAATTAAACGACTTCTGTGCTTGTCCATTCACATATCACCGAATGTACACGTGTACATTGGGTGAGCCAAGGGATTATAAATAAAAAGATTCACATTCTGAAAATGCCGCCCCTCATATATGTCTACTTGTGTCTTATGTAAGATTATTATTAAAGCTTAACATATATTGTTATATTGACACAAATTGTCCGTGTCTAATTAATCTCATATATAGACTAAAGCACCACCATGAAATGGAACACTTGAAAACGATTGGGCGAAAGGGCGAGGGCCCACTTCAACCCCCCTTCAGACGGCCCTGTTCCTCAGCGTATGTCTTGAAACATGTCAGGTTGATCGATACATGGCCCAAGGTCCTCAGTGTGTGTCTTAAGACATGTCAGGTTGACTGATACAGGGTCCTGGTCCTCAGCGTGTGTCTTAAGACATGTCAGGTTGACTGATACACGGTCCTGGTCCTGATCGTGTGTCTTGAGACAAGTCAAGTCGACTGATACACGGCCAAGGTCCTCAGCGTGTATCTTGAGACAAGTCAAGTCGACTGATACACGGCCAAGGTCCTCAGCGTGTATCTTGAGACAAGTCAAGTCGACTGATACACGGCCAAGGTCCTCAGCGTGTATCTTGAGCAAGGTCCTCAGCGTGTATCTTGAGACAAGTCAAGTCGACTGATACACGGCCAAGGTCCTCAGCGTGTATCTTGAGACAAGTCAAGTCGACTGATACACGGCCAAGGTCCTCAGCGTGTATCTTGAGGCATGTCAGGTCGACTGATACACGGCCAAGGTCCTCAGCGTGTATCTTGAGACAAGTCAAGTCGACTGATACACGGCCAAGGTCCTCAGCGTGTATCTTGAGGCATGTCAGGTTGACGGATACGCTGATCTCGTATCTTTTTGCGTCAACTATTTTTTTCCCCGCATTCTAAATTGTATATTCTGGCATATGACACCCATCGAAAGACTCATCGGCTACAGAAATAAGGAGGGTCAATGAAAAAACACGAGAACTCCGTGGAAACAAAACGCCAAGGCTTAGTTCAAAATCACAACTCACACGAGCTCATACGAACTCACACGAACTCACACGAACTCACACGAACTCAACAGTTCTAGCAGCCAGCAGGATGGCTTACATTTTGACCAATACTCTTGCACAGTTGAACGAAGCAGTACAATCGTATCAGCCATTCTTTCTTCTGCTCAAAAGACATTTCGTAATGGCATAGAAGAATGGCTGCTAACTAAAATTAAAAGTTCACTGAAATTAAATTGGATGATTTCTGTGTGTCTGTCAAAAGAAATATTAGGTCAGGTTTTTTTTGAAGACTAATCTCAAACTTTGAGCTACTCTTTTTGTTATAGCATGAAGTATAAAACAGCCACGTAACTTGAAACAAGCTAAAATAATAATTATTTTATTCTAGGTAGTAGTCTTAAAAGTTTGTAAAAAAAAAAAATTCCTTTTTTTTTTAATAGTGACTCTGCTGTATTAATCTATTTTTATTTTCCCTTTAAAACATATTTATTTATCAACGTCATCAATACGCCATTAAGTATACAAAATTTTTCCGGCCAATGTTAATTTTCAATATGTACGCTGAGCTCAAATATTTTTGTCTGGTTTAACTTGTCTATCGGGGCATTTGCGAAAGCTCTAGGTCGGCTGCCCGGAGAAAAACATTGAGGATCACTGTATTAATGGGTGATATTTTCGTGGAGCACTGTATTAAGGGGTGGTATTTTCAAACAACGTAAGAGTTTATTGGTAAGGGGGGGGGGGAGGGGTTAGGTGGGGCAAAAAAAAAGGGGCCTTTCCGCCGGGCTTCCCCGGAAGTTAAGGGCCAACTGTATTAAGGGGTGGTATTTTCAAACAACGTAAGAGTTTATTGGTAAGGGGGGGGGGGAGGGGTTAGGTAGAGCAAAAAAATAGTGGCCTTTCCGCCGGGCTTCCCCGGAAGTTAAGGGCCCTAGCTACACCATTGCCACAATACAAATCTGAACGTATGCACACAGCAGTCTCAGAGGGTCCCCTACAATTAAATTAAACATAAAATATAATAAGTTTAAAATAATACAATGCCAAGATTCAAAGTTTTCTCACCTGATTCTGGTATATGCTTGAGTGTTTATTTATATATCGTGTGCACTGCTAGAGACACCCCCCTCTCCTGTAACTGCAGTTCTGCGGTGGTCTTTCTCTGACTGTGACAGCTACGTTTATTCAGCCGACTATTCTCTGTGGCAGCTACACTTCACGTAACACACTTGTTTTTACCCGTGAACTTGACACCGGGTGTTGCATGCCAACCTTACCTTTTTCCGTGTATAGCAACACCCACCCCCCCCCCCGCTAACCCGTCAACCATATCCATTTTATAAAAAACAAAAAAAAAACATCCAGATGCATGCGTAGCTTGATGCACCCATGGTGGATTGGATTTCTGCTTTGTCATTTTTTTCCGGGAAAATCTCGTGATGAATGCGAACCTATTGGAATCGTTGGCGTCTCTGAAAACCGCATCGGGCGTTTCCGGATCCTAACTTGTTTCTACCACCGAGGTTGAGGTCAAAATGACCCTACACGGAACTATGGACAGGGGTAAAAAACGAAAACACAACAAAATTAAGAAACATAAAATAACAAACTTTTTAAAAGCCTTTCTTTTAAAAAACAGTTTAAACGTACTAAAAGATGACTTTTTTATTTCTTCTTAAAATGCATTACACTGTTATTAAACATAACCCGATATTGCGAGAGAAGTATGTCTATTTTTTGTTTTTAGCTCAGTTACCCCCTACATATGAACCTAGTTCATGTACGCAGGTCCCCCTACATATAAACCTAGTTCATGTACGCAGGTCCCCCTACATATGAACCTAGTTCATGTACGCAGGTTCATCGCCTGTACCACCTTTGTTATCAGGAAATTCTCCTCGATAAAAAAAATCTTCCCAATCACCCCAACAATCCGAACCTTACGGTAGTGTATCTCAAGCGGGATCCCGGCATACCTTTGATCCCGTACGATTGTTATTAAACGCAAGACTTCCCGGGAAACGAGTCTCGATCCCTTCTCGACGGGTCCCACCGGCCACAATGCAAGGGAAACACTTTCAACGCGCCCCCCCCCGATCGCAAGAGCNCACAAGGTGTCTTTCTTCTCCATTTTGACATAACTGTCACTTTTGCGACATTCAGTCAAGATACGCCACTGCATAAGCATTGTCTTCTGAATCCATTTTAGTACGGCTTTATTCATGTTTATAACAACAGTGCGCTTTCAAAAACATTTGAAATACATTTTGAAAAAAAAAAATTCACTTTTTAATGCAATTGTATTCATTTCTTTTTGTACTCTGTATAAGAAAGTGAAGTGTGGACTACACATGCCAGTCATGAGCCAAACTCAACAGCTTCCATCAAAGATGTCAGCATTGCATTTTACGCATCCGATGGCAGGACAGGGTGCCTAACACAGAGGTCTTGTAATGTGCAATAATGTGTAGCATATTCTCCGCTCTTAGCAAGAGGCGCCTTCGCTGGTTAGACGATGCAAGACAAGGTAGAGAATGGAGGAAGACCGTATTCCCCATGAATCTGTTGTATGGACAGTTGGAAAAGGGACATGACTCATTGGACGGCCACGGCTGAGGTTTATGGACGTTTGCCAAAATGAGCAGTAGGGAAGCCAACATAGCAATCAACGAACGGGAGATCATCACTGAGCAACGTTCCAGGTGGCGGACAGCAGGGTATTAAGCAGTCCAAAAGGCAGAAGATGCTCGAAGCCAACATAGCAATCAACGAACGGGAGATCATCACTGAGCAACGTTCCAGGTGGCGGACAGCAGGGTATTAAGCAGTCCAAAAGGCAGAAGATGCTCGAAGCCAACATAGCAATCAACGAACGGGAGATCATCACTGAGCAACGTTCCAGGTGGCGGACAGCAGGGTATTAAGCAGTCCAAAAGGCAGAAGATGCTGGAAACAAAGAGCCTTGCAACAGAAAGAACAATGCGGAAGGCCAAAGCTAACTAAATGTCAAAGTTCTCCTGCGAGAAATGCAGCCGAGACTGCTATCCCAGGATCGGCCTAGTCAGCCATTTGTTGGAGTGTACACAGCTATTTCATCGTCTCCGGCAGACGGAAGGATGCATATACACATATTTAAATATATTCAATATATTTCGCGGAATAAAAGGGTTTGGCCATTACACTAGAAACACAATAATCGTAACTGTAATCTTACATAGTTCAGTCCAACGAACCGAGACAAAGTAGGAGATTATGCCTGTCGAGCTGCTTGTGTCCGGGAGATTTTACCCGTAGGTTTTTTTTTTTAATGAATGTGGGGTTGGGGGTGCGATTATCGAGCATACGCTTAATGTGCTAGAAGTAACAAACAAAAAGAAAAGAACTTTTATTTCAAATCCATCTAATCTCCGTAGGCTAATGTGCAACTAACAAGCAACCTATAAACAAGAAATCCACAAATTAACTTTGAAGTTTATATAGAAAGGTTTTCTTTAATACGTCCACATTTTTATTGCCATCTGTGTATTTGAATTTAAAAAAAAAAATTCTTTAAATAATTTTTTTTATCAACTTCAGCAAAACGACTGTTGGCAAAATAAGCGTCGGCGAAAAGGCCCGGTGGCGAAATAACAACGGCGAGATGGCGGTGTCGAATCATCATAGATGCTTTCCGAACATATCAACTATGGATTATGAATTACCTTTATAGTAAACTAGCAATACTGGGTCTGTGCTGGTTAAGTTTGCAATGAAAATAATAATATTGTGAGCGTATGACAAGGAGATTTACTCATAACATTTGAGTGAGGGATTATTGTTTCAATAATCTTCCATGTCATTGAGAATCATGTCTGTTATGGGAGAACTCAGCCATGATCCTCAGTGCAACGTGATCTGATCAGATGTGTTGTGTATTTATAGCAGCAATGTCAAACACGCGGCCCGTGGGCCATTTGCGACCCACAAGACGATATTTTGCGGCCCGCTACATGACAGCAAAGTTTAGTGTTAAAGCGGCCCGCGAGTTATCCCCATTCTCATAGCTACAATGTGACCCTCAGCAACAGTTTCAGTCGAATATCACTGACTAGTCTAATTCTGATTTTTATTATGTTTGTATAGATTTGAACGTTTATTAATAATGGAAAACCCGTTTTAAAATCGGACTAAATGTTTTTGTTTTATAGCATTTAATGAGACAAACATGGGCAAAGTGTGGTTTTGAGAAGTTTTAAAAGTCAGTTAGTGGGTAATGCACAACTATAGTTGTGTTAAGTCGTAGCAATCTGACACAGTATCAAAGAATCCCTATTAAAATTTACGCTAGTGTTTACGAGTAAGGATATTCCGAGACTGTCAGCTTGGTCATTTTCAGGTTGTATGACTTTTTTTTATTTTGGGCGTACCTATCTGTGTGAAAAGCTCTTTTTCAATCTGAACTGCAGCAAGTCAATTTTCAGGGCCAAACATACTGATCAGCATCTTCTAGCTATACTGAGAGTCTCATTCGCTTCCTTACTCAAGCCGGTCTATGGCAACAAGGAGTAGGAGGAAGAAAGTGAAGCCTTAATGTTTTAATTTGTAGTTAATAAGGGTTGAGCAGATTTTAACCGTTGTACTTGATTGAATTTGTAATCGCTTTTTGTGTGTGGACTACTTGATGCGGCCCTGTTTCACTCAGACTCTACCTCCAGCGGTCCCCGAATGATTTAAGTTTGAGACCCTTGCTTTAAAGTTTCATTAGGCGTTGATAATATTTTATTCGCTATGTCTTTCATAAATCCCATGTAGTACTACGGCATCGCATGCTTTTTGTCTTGCAACACATTCGAATTCATTCAGTGTAAATAACTACGAAATAGTAAGATAAATACAGCCACAATTTTTTTTTTATATTGTCTGCGAGTTTCATAATCATAAAAGGTATTAATTATTAAGTGCACTTCTTGGTTAAGTTGATTTATTGATTTTTTGCTTTGAATGATTTATGAATACTAGTTAATAATTTCAAAGCGGAGGGAAGGGGGGGGGAGGTGTTTGCCTGACAGCCCTTGAACTTTGCCGAGGGCGTCTTCATCCATCATACTCCAATCTTTGATTTTAAATGCCTTTGAGTTTAGTGGGTAGCCACATAACACGGCAAGGGGATGTAACCAAGTCATTAAATCTAGCTCGTTTCCTATCTTTATTCTTCCCCCACCCCAGCTTTGATTTTAGACGTCCGCCGTTACAGACTTCTAGTAAATATGATTATATCCGAACACTTTCTCAAACATCATGAAATATGTATCATACACATTTTTTTACTCTTCAGATATGAAAGACAGTAGGGCTTTTCATTTAGTAACTGACTATCGCGTGTCTGTCATTTTGACCTTTTTGAAGTAAATGGTTTAGGAAACGTTGAACTGGCCATAGGTCATAGGTGAGAGAGCTTCGGATAACGGAAATGATTTGAGTCCGAAAAGAAAAAAAGTCCACAGGCGCTGGAAAGCATCATCCGATCCTCGGTCTGGCAATTTTCTCTCCAGAAACTACCAGATTAAAAAGTAATGATAACTTGAAGAGGAGAACGCAAACGCAACAATGAGATGGGAGTACATTTTTTATAGCGTATTTTTTGGGGTCCTTGGGGCTGGTTTGTTTTGTTTCATCATAGCACGAGTACGAATGCGATGTTAAGAAACTTGGTACATGGACTCGTTGCTGATGACAACACATTCTATCAAATGTTCAGCCCCGCTTCCGACCTTGCTAGACCTGTTTTTCAAGGGGAAAGATGAAATAAAATGCCCGATAACTGCGCTAAATGCGATTATTTTTAAAAAAAGAAAAATAACGCACGTGCATTAGATGCGCCATATTTTCGCGTTGATTTTCTAAAATTGTTGGTGAAATGAATCTGCGTTTAAAGGCAAGTGGGTCATTAAAGTATTAATAAAGTTCAGAGGCGTTTAAAAAAAATGTGTTGTTGCGAGTCTTGAAAAAAAAAAAAAGAGAGGGGGGGGGGGGGCACTCATTGGGAATATTATAAAATGAGTTGAAAGGAAAGTGGGTAATAAAAGTATTAATAAAGTTGAGCGGCGTTTAAAAAAAATGTGTTGTTGGGAGTCTGGAAAAAAAAAAAAAGAGAGGGGGGGGGGGCGCACTCATTGGGATTCTTATAAAGTGCGTTACTTGTATGCATGTTCGTCAACTTTTCTAACCCCCACCCCTCTCC